CAGGCTGCCCAGGGAGGCTGTGGAGTCTCCTTCTCAGGAGATCTTCCCAACCCACTTGGACACCACCCTGTGCCCCGTGCTCTAGGTGACCCTGCGTGTGCAGGGGGGTTGGACCAAATGGTCTCTAGAGGTCCCTGCCAACCCTAAGGATTCTATGATTCTTGAACATTACTAGGGATTTTTTGTGACAAATTCTGGAAATTGACACTATATTGTTTACATCTGAGTCTGGGAATGCTCATAATCTGTCCTGCCACAAGAGGTGAAAATCAGTAGTGTTTATGTGACCCCCTGAAGTTGTAGGGTGTACACAGTGTGTGTACAAGTAACTTCATGTTCCACTGAGACGTACTTACTCTACCAGTACTTTTTGCTGCTTTTATCTACTTCCATCCTAATCCTTTCCTCAAATGCTTCTATTCCATGTCTGAGGCCTATTCAGAACCACTTCCTACCTCTCCTTTGGATTTAGTGCTTACCGTGGAGAGGAGTTGAGACTATTTCCTTGGCTCTGAAAATACGGCATTGCAAGTTGCAGTTGTCCTGCTGTGCGTCCTCGCTGTGTGACTGAGGCTCCTCCGTGTTCCCCTCCATACTTTGGTGGTGGTGTGTTTAATTTTTAAGCTTAGTGCTGTTTGCTGTTAGCAAAGTGCAAGCTTCACTGAGAAATATGGCTGCAATGTGTGAAGAGTTTTCACATTCTAAGAATGAATTCAGTAGAATAACTTTTTAYTCAAGTGCACTAAAAATCCTCTGGGATCCCATTGGATGTATATGGCTTTTCACTTAAGGCCCTAAACTTGTGTATAGGGCCTTTTGTGCTTGTGCATTCCATGTATTACTTTGATTTGGTTGGGGGATRTAACTTGATGAGAAAACCACCTTTGAGACCCTGGCTCCTTTTTGGGAAAGAAGTTGGCTTTAATTTCTTGCAATCAATGCCTTTTGAGCTTCATGCTTCCCAGCGCTGCCATAAGCGATGCAGCCGTCCTACAAGGCCCAGTTTGAACGCACAGTGTTCCCAAACCTGGAAGCACTGGAAATGTCAAGGGCAGCCTTGTTGTGCCAGGCTTTCCCTGCCCAGCTCGCACACCGTGCCGGTGCTGATGTGTTTCTGGCTAGTGTCCGGTCTCCACGTGCTGCTCCGTGCTGGCCGCTCCTCGCGCGCTCCCCGTCCCCCTTCGCCCCAAGGGCTGCTCTGCTGATCGTGTGGATGTTGTTGTGCACCTCGGGCGAGACACTGAACCTCTTCTTTTTGGTTTCTGCTTTCTCAGACTGTTTCAAAAGCTTTCTGATGAGCAAGGGTAAGTTTTATGAAAGCTTGGAAGTTCYTTTTTGCCTGTTTACGTTCTCGTGCATGCACAGTAGCTACAGACTATGGCTCCGAGCAACTTGTGCATGCTGCTTTGTTCTGCGCTTGGGTAATTCACACAGCAAATGTCAGAGAGCCAGAGCTTTGGCCAACGATCCCACGGGCATCTGGAATATATAAGTTACGGCTCCAGGTGTCAGGCGTTTCGAATATCAGCTCTTCCTGCTGCTGAAGTGCTGTACCTGGAGTTCTGTCCTTAAAGTTAGGCTTTAAGAGATTTAGGAAGAGAAAGCAAGGTTAGTAAATACTTTTCTTTCAAAAGACTRTACAGCTGGAAATCCGAGTGAATTCTGAATTCATTACATGCATATTTGTGATAGGAATTACATGAAGGTATGTCTTTTTTTGAACTAGAACAGATAGAAATTTGAACTATCAATAGAATTGATAGTTCAAATTCATGTTGAAAAGCTTAACTTGGCAGTTGTCACTTTGCGTTTAGTGCTTCTGCTCTGAAGTTAATACTAWCTTTAGAGTTGAATTGGAGCTATTTTACTTAGTAACTCTTATTTTCATAGAGGATCATAGGTTCTGGAGAGCRGCAGCTGAACAAAGCTTTAAAAAGCCCATTGCCAGGAGTTTCTCAGGGTTATTCTGCTCTAGTTTCCGTTAAAACTACTGAGCTTTATGGATATTTTATGATTCTCTTATGTACTCTAGTTCTTTGAGTGCAGATAGGTAAACACATTTACCTGCCAGTTAGGGCCGTATTAACTTTTGTCTTGGATACAACGTACTGTAGTCAAAAGAGAAGTATTTTTTTCTTATTTATTACCTGAGAGCATTTCCCATCCTACCTTTTATTTTTTTGTTGGTTGCTCTTGGAAATCAAATATATATCCTTCTCTCCCTCTCCTTTATTTTATTTTTGTTGCCCTGAGCCAAACCCTGCACGTGACTGAACACTGCAGAGGAAGCAAGAAATGTAAGTGTTTTGTGAAGAAGCTAAATGTTAGAGGAGAGAGTCCTGGAAGACTCAGGTCACTGGTTAGAACTTAAGATGAAGCCTATGTTTAAAATGAACCTACTCTTGGATTCTGATGTAGGATATATTGCTTTTTAAGCCTAGATTAAAGAACCCAAGAGAATGCAAAGGAAACTCTGGTCTTTCAGGTTTCCTTGAACAAACCTGGAATCGTTTTGATACTTAAGTACAGCTTTGTTACCCAGAACCGTTTTTACATGTGTTGCAACTTAACCATAAAAATGAGGAAAGGAGAGCAAGCTACTTGAGAAAAGAGTTTCTACAATAGCAACCCTGGGATTTTTGCTAAATCTGGCATTCTTCCCATTCAAAAAATAAACAAGTGAGCAGGAATAATGAGTTAYGGCCCCAGCCTTCCTTTCCAGAGGCCAAAGTCTTTTGTTACCAGTGAAAGTAAGTTGGGCCTCTTGGGAGGAAGTTGAAGAAACTGGCTTCTTAGTTAAGAGCTCTCTTAGTATGCAAGAGATTAGTTAAATACCCTGGCTGCAGCAGTTTGGTTTTGACCTGATTTTCCATCATACCAGAGCAGTGGGAAAGTGGGAAAAGGAGACAATGAAAAGGGAGTTTTGTGAAATTTGGGTTAAGGGGAGCTAGTAAGTGGGCGTTCACGGGGATATCTGTGGAGGAATGGGTGAGAAGAGGGGTGTTTTCTTATCCTGACTTGGACTGGAAGTGGCAGGGAGGCTTGGAGAGGTGCAGAGCAGGTGGGTGAGACTGACGGTATGAATGAAGAGGTCATTTAATAGGGACTGAAGCTTGGTTTTTAGAGGTGTGTTTCAGTAAGAAAATGGAAAATAATGCTGGGGCTCCTAATGGAGAGAGCAAATGAAGGAGATTTCAGACTTGAGGGGAACAGAGAAGCCTTTCAGGTAAAAGAAATGAGGAAGATCATTCAATAAATAGCATAAGTCTTAGTCAAATACGAGAAGCTCAATGTGATGATCAGCATGAATGGCTACAGTGCTGCAGAAGCTGCTGATTCTTCTCTTGCCCTGGCTCTGTTTGCTCAAATACTTTACCCCTGTAGCAGGCTTGCTCCACTGTCTGCTCTTATGCTCCCCGCCTTGTTTAGTATTAACACTTTAGAGAGCTTATTAGTACTAATAGAAATCTCCCTCGAAGGCTCGCTGGCGTCAGCGATGGCTCGTACGTCAGAAAGCTGAGTGTCCTTCCCCTCTGCAGGAGCAAGTCCCTGAACGACGTCAGCGCGGAGGAGCTGCAGTCGCTGCGCAAAATCCGTTACGAAGAGCTGCAGAAGATAAAGAGGCAGCTGCAAGAGCAAGACCTGCAGTGGCAAGAAGTAAATACTCCTCCTTTCCAGTGCCGCTTCCAGCCGCCACGCCGCTCCAGGCGGTCAGCGTGCCTGGAGAACAAGTGGTTTGGGTCTAAAATCACCCATTTTGCACAACTGCTGATGATCTGGGGAGAACTGAAGTTACTTTATAAATTATCAGAAGTATTTGGTTAATATTATTGGATAAGATACGTATGTAGTTTGACAGTATCAACATAAAACCTTTCRACTCACTTTCTGTGGCTGTAAAGATAGGTTAGGGCATAGTTTCATGTGTAATTTGAAATTGGTGAATTCATTTTTRTGAAACAATTGGAATGCCCAGGTATGTGATTATGTAGGGAAAGATGGGGAAGGGAAATACTRTTTTCACAGGCAAATCCTGAAGACCTCAAAACCACCAGCTCCATTAACTTTGTGCTGAACTGGGTTAGAAAACTGGTATCATGGCCTTCAACCTCCTCATAACATTATCTGAAGATCTTTTCTCTTTTTTTATTTAATTTTGTAACTTGTAAGGATGAAAAATGACTTGGATAAATAGAAATTGAGCACTGAGCAAGTACTGTGTAGCTATTGAATTGACGTTAACACTGATATTCAGTACTTGTCTTAAAGCTGTTCTGGTATTTCATGGACAAAGTTGCCACATTATGCACACGTTATGGTTTTACAGAAATGAAGAAAATGTAGATGTTGCTCATATGTTTTCAGTTTAGAATTTAAATTGTGTTTGTTCTCTAGCTGACATATCAGTCTAACATACTAGTGATTGGGGAAAAAAAACAAAGTGATTGGAGGGAGTCCGAAACCAATGACAAATTCCCATGGCGTTTGGGTTGAATTTAGTTGTGTGTCCTTCTGTGAGGCATTCTAGAATAAAACTGAAAATGTCAAGAAATGTAAGACATGTACATGTTTGCTTTTAGTACAACAGTTATGATTATTAACTTTAACAGGCAACAGGCCCATAACCTCTAACTGAAAGACAAAAATACCTTTATCATTTATGGGAAAGATGCATTAAGAGCAGCCTTGATGCAGATGTGTCGGTCAAATAAGGACACTGGTGTTCAGGCAGCATCTAATGGGATGTCTCTGGGTGCAGGAGGTCTTGAGAAAATCTGATGTTTGTCCATTCATATAATTCTCTCAGGATCTAGCAAAATGGAAGAATCGTAGGAAGAGCTTCACTTCTGAATTGCAAAAGAAGAAGGAGGAGAGAGAAGAAATACAGCGGCGAGCCTCTGAGGTTTCTGGAAGAAGTAGCAAGTCCCTGAAAGAAATGCAGGAGGAGAGGTAAGGAACCTGCTTGAGGCGTGAGACTTCGTATGTAAATCTCAGCATTTCTGATTTCTTTATTTCTGGGGAAGTTTCTACCGGCAAATTGCAATTGCTGATGCGGAAAGCTAAACAATTTTAGCACTAAATGATAGTGTAGAAGTCTAAGTACTTGCAGGGCAGGCYATGGTCCACAAGTACATTGTTTTCAGGGACTGTTAAACGATTCTGTAGTATAGAAGTTATTTTACTGAGCTAAGTGTGAATAAATGCGTTCTAAAGCCAGTATTTGACTTCACTTTAAACAGGTTAAAATAATAGAGAGTTAACCTGGATAATTGCYGCTCTAATTCTCAGTTTAATCAATGACATCTCTTTACTTTAATGTTGTATTTGCTGTTCTTCTACAACTGTGTTCAACTGCAACTGTAGATAAGTGCAGCCAGAATCTTGTGCATATCCCAGAACTGTGAACTTTTGCTGCRTTTCCACTGTATCCCCAGCTGCTCCCTTTGGTATTTACAGAACAAGATTGCCAAGATTCTCTAAAAAGAGTAAATTTGGTAACATGATACCATTTGTCCTCCTGACAACTTTTTTTTTTTCTTCTTTTTAATGTATTAACTGAGTTGAATAGGCTAAAAGGTTATGCATATAGTATATATTTAAAATGGAGGATGCAGATTGCCGTGGCTTGAATAACGCTACGGGTACAAGTTATATGGAATGGCCAATATTGCCAGCGCCTTAAGAATTATGGGCTGAAGGTTATTTTTTTCTATATGACAAAGAAATGTGTAGCAAAAAAAGAAAAAAAAAGAAAAAAAACCACTTCAGGATGTCTTCTCATTTATTATCTAAAGTTCCATATCACATTTTCATTGAGTAGAGGTGCCACCAAAGCCGTGGGGTTCAGGTGATACTGTGTGGTTTCCTTCTTCCCACTCTTTCCTCAATAAAAGCTGGGTTTCTGAAGATAAATAGCTGATTGGCTATATCTTTTTCTTGGTGAGGAGCTATTTTGGCATGGTGGCAAGCTGGTAACGTGACTGCTGTATGCTTGAGTGTTACGGAGTGTTGATACGGGAGCAGGGTAACAACACGGCAGATCACAGAAATTCTGCTGAATTGATGCAGCTATTTTTTGCTTTAAGAGACAGGTAAGGGAGTTTCTAAAGTCATTCCTTCTCAAGCAGCTCCTGTGTTTGTGCTGCCTCGGCCTCTCAGTCGCAGCAGCTCTCGGGGTCCAGCCGTCCGTGGGGTCACTCGCCTGGCAGGTTGACGCTCCCTCTCTCCACAGGGAGCACCGAGACGAAGGAACATACGGGCAGGCGAAGCTGGACCGCCGGTGGACCTACTCGCTCAACGACGACGTGTTCGGGGAGGAGAAAGGCCCTTCCGAGGAGCCGGCGGCGCAGGATGCCCCCTCAGGGAGCGAGGCCTCCCGTGGCGCCGGGGCGAGGCGGGCGCCGCAGCGCGCGCCCGGCGCCGGGGACGAGGCGGCCGCCACGCGGCCCGCGCCCCGCGAGCAGCGCCCGCCGCCTTTGTCCGCCCAAAGTGGGTCAGCTCCGGTTTCAGCCTCCCTCCCGAGAAGCTACCAGAAAACCGACACCTCCAGGTTAACGTCGGTGGTGACGCCGAGGCCTTTCGGGGTGCACTCGAGAGGCATCTCGTCGCTTCCCCGCTCCTTCACGGTAAAATTCTGCCTCCTTCCTCAGCTGTGTGAATGTTGCTGCCTTGGATGTGTGGTCAGGCTGTAGGCTCCCAACGTGCATGGCTTTTCTTGAGAACCATCTGCTCTTTAATGAAGGCTGTGTTAGCAGAATAGACAACTCTGTCACTGCTGTAAGTGTCTGCTTTCATTTCTGTGTTTTAAAGGTAGCTCTCAGAGTAAGTTTGATAAATACATTCGGCAGAGTATTCTTTTCAGTTAGTCTTTCTGGTGTTACTTATCAGAAAACCCTCTTTGTCAAATGTAATTGCCTTAAATTAACATCATCAAATATTAAAGACAAATTTTTGAAGTGGTATAGATTTCCTCTGCAGTCTCTGTAGTACTGAAACACAGAAATGTAATTTTTTTCCCTTGTGTTATAGATCTTTGTAGCTTTTTCATAAAGCCCTAGTTGGCCCTGTTCTAGAACGGCTAAGAATGTGAATATTTCTAAGCATGGGACTTGTAACACTTTTAATAAGCTTGCATTATATGTTAACATGCATTTCAAGGGAAAAAAAAAGATCTTGCTGTTTTTTTTTACAGTAAATAATTAATAATGGGTATGGTGACCAGAAGTTTCATGAAAGGGGGAGACTTTTTTATTAAACATTTAGATTTCTGAAAGATTAAGTTTTTTTCCACTAAGCATACATTTACCAAACTGTCTTTTTTTTGTCTTAGATGGATGATACCCAGAAATATAATGGAGAAGTGGAGAAAACTAAGCGAACGCAGACGTTGTTCAGCAGCAGTTCATTTTCACAACCAGACTCTGCACACCCTATTTCCACAACTGCACTCGGAGGCAGAGGTGAGGAGGAGGAGAAAGGAGGTGTTAACACAGCAGCTGCTCCTGTACCTGTTAAATCCCAAGACCAGGAGACTGGAAGCTATATTCTTAAATCGGATTGTTGCTCTCCTCCTGATTCTGTTTCASTTGCATCTCCCGCAGTAAATGCGAGTCTGCCAGAGCCTGAGCCTTCAAAAACCCAGGTAAGTTTGAAATTTGTCATTACTTAGTGTAACTGAATGCAACAGTAGGCTTAAAAAAATACGTATCACGTTAGTCATCTCTGGTAGTAAGAACTGCCCCAAGAACTGTTACCTTGAAGTGGTTAATTTACAGGAAATAGGATACTGATSCTTTTGCTGTATTCTCTGTACTGTGCTTGTGTGGGTTGTTTGTTGTTGCTGTGTGTTTATTTTCCTCTAATTTGGCTTCTAATTCATTCTAAATGTTCAGTTGGGTACTTGTCAGCTATATGTTATTCTCCAAATGAGTACACCATTGGCATAACCAGGTTTGTCAATTAGGTGAATAATCCAAGCTACTTTCCCATCCATTTGCACTTTCAAATTGGTGACAGAAAATAAAGATCTGCTTTACGAAAGCCAACCTTAAACAGTAAAATCGCCATCCTTTCTTTTTCCCTCTGCTATAAGATGTTTTGAGATAATTTTATTAATCATAATAATCATCAAGGTATTTTTCTTAAAAATGATTTGCTTGAAGTCATTTAGCTTTACTATTTCAATTAACAAATCGCCATTTCTGTGTGTATCTGCTTATCCAGCAGTTGGGCCTTTAGTGTTTCCTTCAGAGCTCTGGAATCCTCCCATGCTGTTTCCTCCAGCTGCTCTCGTGTTTCAGAAGCTTAAGAAATGAACAGCAGTAACTTTGTTGGTACCTTCCTGCAGTCGCTAATGATGTTGTTCATGCCCCTTGCTAGGTTTGAGTTGAATTCCTGGCATTCCTGGGGCTGCTGAGCAGATTATGTCAGTTGCTTGGGTGAGGTTCAGAAAACCTTGGATGCTGATTTATGAAATGGCCTCATACACCAGCTATTTCTCTGTATCTTTAGTCACTTGGARCCATTCTTGCTCCTGATCAACCATGGAAAAAAGAATGGATTTCAGATTAATATTCATGATATCTGAGGTACCTGACTAGCTACCAGAATGCAATTACAGTAGTTTTTGGAAACTGTGGTTACTGCAAAAGGAAAGAATTTATGATTTTTTTTTTCCTGTGTGAAGATTTCAATAAACAAGTAGGGGTTGTAAGCAGTGAGAAATGGAGTTACATGTGGATTCTTTTGCAGCACTTATGTATGAGTAGAATGAAAGCTAAATGTCCTACATCTTATTTCTGTAAGTGGTTACGAGGTTGTAAATTGTGTAACCTCCGAATGGGAAAGGTGTTTATAAATGTATACGTGTGCATGCTTGTGGTGTGCACCAAACAACCTATTATTTAAGGAATATAAGTTCCATTTGGCATGTTTGTAAAAACCATTGCCATGCCTGAGATAGCCTGACCATTAGTGACCTATGCAGTAATGCTGTGGGTGGTGAGTACTGAGTGTTTGAGAGGACCTGTCCAAATGATGAAGCTTGGTGCCCCAAGTAGCTTTACCTCTTCTCCCAAGAGGTYGTTTCGAAGGAGAGCTGGTTTGGGATGCTGGGAATGAAAATAATAATGATTTCCAGGAACATGCTCAAATTCCAAAGCTTTGGATGTGCTCGTGCATTGCTTCTGATAGTAAGGTAACTTCTAACGTTTGTCTTTCACCTAGTTGAGTTGATGGTATAGAAGAAAAAGATCACTTGGAGAACAGAGTACAGAGTTTTTGCAGGTTAATGGTTCTGTCTTGAAGTGGCTTAATAGTTTCTTCCTTGAGCTTGTGCAGTTTGCTGGGAACGTTGCTGTAATACGGGGAGAACCTCAGGGTGTTGCCCTATGAAGTTGCCTTCCTGGGCACCCCCTGCCCAGGTGCTGGCCCTGCCCTGAGCCTCCCCCTTGCTGATTACTGTGAAGCTCCTTCTGGAGCTGTCCCCTTCTTTCTTGGGACTGAAATGAAAGACAGAATCTGAGAATCCTTAAGGTTGGAAGGGACCTTTAGAGACCAACCCTCCCGAACACACAGGGTCACCTAGAGCAGGTGGCACAGGGTTGCAACCAAGTGGATCTGGAAGATCTCCAGAGAAGGAGAGTCCACAACCTCTCTGGGCAGCCTGTTCCAGGGCACCCTCACTCACAGGAAATGTTTCCTTAAGTTCCTGTGGAACTTTTGGTKCTTCTAAAGACTTCATATTAAAATGCTAATGTATATAACACGTTATTTGCATGTAATATATTTTGACCTTGAAAGAAGGTGTTTCCAAGTACATTCCAAATTCCTCTAATTTTAARTAAAAATGTTAAGTCTCATTCTGATTCTGAAAGCTTCTTCAAAGGCCCCTAGAATGGGAAGTTAGAATTGGAATAGCTGGATTCCAGCTAACTTCCAGACTAACTTTATAGTCTAAGGCCCTCGCTCTGAATTTCCCAGAAAATTAGTAGTATTTCACACAAAATTAGGAAGATGACTATTTACTTAAGTCACAGTTGCAGCACTGAACCTAAGGACACTGATACTGGCTTCTCTAGCATGTTTCTAGAATAAATAAGGTGAGTTACTGTTATCAAGCTTGTTCACGTTTCTGTTTAACTGATACTTTGTCAGCAGGCAGTAGGGTTCACAAATTCATTAGGATATTTAYGGAGACTTATGTAGGGTTTTAGTTTCCTCAAAATCCATGTGTTTTCTGGCATTATTTTGTGYTGAAACTACAGTTAGAAAAAAGCACAGCTGAATGTGTGTGTGTGTRTATGTGTGTGTATGTATATTTATTTATATACAGGAGAAATCAGGAAAAATAATCTAGTAGTCTATATGCAAACCAAGAACATACCTTTTTGAATGAAAAGCAACCTAGTTAGGACGTAARTCCTGTCTTCTCTGTGGAAGATGCGAATAATAGATAATTAAAGTGCATGTTGTGAGTCACCTCACTTATTTAGAGGATAAACTTTCCCTCATTTAGATTCCTGCGATACCAGATACTGTAGTGTCATGTTTTATTTTTCAGGAGCAGTACAGTGAAATGAGAATCAGTATAAACCAGAGACCTGGCCACAGTCACAACTTAGGGTTTACAACAAACTGGAGCTCTTCGGGGGCCTTTGTACAGACAGTTGAAGAAGGTAAATGTTTATTTAACTACACAAGCCTATCTCTTTACTCAGGGAACGTTGCAGCTACTTCTATTTCTCTTGGGCAGAAAGTAGAAAAATACCTTGTTTGCTAATGCTTTTCTGTGGATTCTCATCTCCTGAAATGTGTTTGGTTTAGAAGCATTAAACAGCATTTCCTGAAGCAAGGACAGTTTTGTATCCAGAGGTATAAATGGGATTTCCCAAAGGTTTCCCAGGACTCTAACAGAGAAGTAGTGTGGGCTACCTACGGGGGTGAGTGGGTTGGTTGGTTTTAACGTGCAAATTACTCCTTTTGCCTTAGCTTTCATTTTCCATGGTCTGTAAAGACATGCAGGGGAAACCTGGGATTTAGTATTTTCTTTTCATTTTCTTCTTTCTTTTTCATGTTGGATTTTGGAGGCAGTATTATAAATTAGATGTAATTTCCAAATTAACTTTCAGTGAAATTTCTACAGATGTGTTAACACCAAGGACAAACATATTTGTCTTGAAACTTAAACTTATTTCTGGCTYTTATAGCTTTTCTCAGGCAAGCTTTTTTTGGTGTTTTTGTTCTACAAAACAAGTGTACAGTATATATTTTTGCATTCTGAACAAGATCTTGCCCCAGTGATATCTAAACGATACTTATTTGTGCCCTTCCTTATAACTAACACAAGATTGTCCCGAGGAAGAGAAACCCCTTTCCATTTGTCATTAGGCCATCCTAATTAGGCAGTCATTATGCTGTTCAGGAAGGAAAAAATTCCATTTAGAATTAAGTACTGAGCAGCTTTACTTTTCATTTTGAAGCCCTTTTTTTTTTTTTTTTTTTAGATCTCCCTCCATTATAGCTGGATACTTCTTGTAATTAGGTTGCAGTGGCTAATTGCTTTCTCTGAAGAATAACTTTGCATCCCTTTTCCCTGGTGCTGAACCTCGGGCTGACTCTGATACTGGGAGGCAAAGGACAGTTTCCTTGGGCTGCCAGCTGTAAGCGAGAAACCTGAGGGCAGCCAGTGCCCCTGCCTGTGGTTCAGCAGGGTCCAGACGAGCTCCTGGGCTGGCCCTGCAGGCTGGGAGGAGAGAAGGCCCCGTCGCTCTCACCTTGGCTCTGCTTTAATGCTTCCAAAGGAGAAGGATGAAGCTGAGCCTTTGGGGTGGACTTGCACCTCTTACCAATAACAATTTAACATCTTTTTGCAATAACTGACCAATGTGTCCTCATGCAGGGAGCTGTAGCTTTATTTAGAGATGGACAGTTCACTGAAATAGTAAGACGTGCTTTCAGCTGGGCACTTCTGAGCACTGTAGGTCTTTTTTACTAAGAGTAAATCTTAGGGTAGCTGAGGTGGGAAGGGACCTTGGGAGATTGTCCAGACCAAGCCCCTGCTCAAGAACTTGTTTAAGGCTGAACTCAGACCTGATGGTTGAGGGTTTTACCTGGCTCAGTTTGGAAACCTCTAAGGATGGAGACTGCACAGTCTTTCTGGGCAACCTGCTCCAAAGCACAGTTATCTTCCCAGTTATTTTTTTCCTTATATCCAGTCAGAACACCTTTTGTTTTAGTTCGTGATCATGGTGTTTTGTTTTCCTGCCATGGATCTTAATAAAAAGGCAAGTTTCCCATGCTGAACGACTTCCCCTTAGGTGCCAGGACTGCTGCTGCTCCCTGAAGCTGTCGCTTCCCCAGGCTGAACAGGAGTCTCTTGGCCTGCCAGGGCAAATGCCCCAGCTCTGCCCATCCTGCTGGCTTGCACCAGCACCTGCCCTGGTTTTGCAGGACCTTCCTGAGCCAGGTGTCCTGAGCTGGATGTTAGTGGTGTGGTGGAACAAGGGGCCTGTGACGGAAGGGGACAGTCAGTTCCGTTGGCCATGCCTTGTTGGGACCCCAGCATGGCCCTCCGTGCTGCCAGGGCAYGCTGCTCAGCCCTGCACCAGCCGAGGTGCCCCCGTGCTGCTCCCCTTGGGCTGCCCCAGCCTCTCCCTGCTCAGGGGTTGGTTTCTCCCAGGGCAGCACTTTGCGTTTGTCCGTGCTCAGTGTCATCAACTTCCCGCTCTGAAGGGCAGCCCGGCCCTCCAGCTTGGTGTGACTTGCAGCCTTGTTGAGGAGGCTGCGATTCATCTCGTTCCCTGSTCATGGATCACAGTGTCAGGAGAAACACATCCCAGGATTCATCTCTGTAGAGCTCTCTAAGCAGCCTCCTGGTAGAAAATGAACCATTAGCTGATGCCCTCTGAGCCTGACGGCCCAGCCAGTTTTCCACCCATCTAGTTGTGCCCCACTATGCACATCCATAACGTCCTCACTGGGATACCAGGATACTGGGGGAGACCAAKTCAAAAGCCTTTCTGATGTCAGGGAAGTAAATCCACCACGTGCCTCCTACACAGATCCTAGTCATTTCATCACAGAAGACAACCAGGTGGTGTCAGCATGATTTGGSGTTGGTAAATCCATACTGACTGTTTCAAATCACTATTTTTCCTCAGTCCTGAGTCCAGAAATAGCTTCCTGCAAGATCTTTCGAGTCGTACTTGCCATCTTATCMCTTAAGGCATCTAACAGCCCCCTAGGGATCCTCCTAGCGTTGGTGAAACCTGGGCTGCTTTGGAGAGTGAAGCATCACCCTGATGTAGGTGCTRAGATCTGCGCTCCAGAGGGGCCCTGTTGGTTGTTACGGAGACAGTGCAGGAAGAGCAGCTGGGCACGTTGGGTGCCAAAAGCAGTGGTGTGGGGTCCCCAGTCTGTGCAAGGTCTGCCCGGGGAGACTGTAGCTGTCCATTCAGTGTGTGGTTGGCATGGGCTTTTGTGGTGACCATATAGGGGGGAAATGTGTGGTCTGGAATTCCCTTCCTTCCCTGAAACCCAGGTCGGGAAACCTTCTCCTGCCCTACCGTGTGCCCCGTGGGGCTGCTCTGCTCCCCCCCATGGCCGGGCCTTGGCTCARTCCAGCTGCTTGAGTAAAAGGGAGCCCAGACTGTTTTGGTTCCTAGGGTTCATTCCCCATCACAACTTAATCTGCTCTCTTTCCTTGGGCCAGAAGTGGTCCCTTTACCAAAAGCACAAAGTTTAGTTAATGGGAGATCAAGCTGTATGGTGCTGGAGATCTTAGGTTTTGAAGCAGATCAGTTCCAAATGCGCTCTATGTATTTTTGAAAATAATACTTCCCATTTGACACCAATGCTGTTAACTTTCATTACATCATCCTTGCCCTAAAGAGGTGCAGGTTCCTCCCATTTTGCCATTGCGTAGGCTTTTATTGTTTCCTCAAAACCACTTTTTTTTTTTCTCCAGTAAGATTGTTTGAAATTGGTCTTTTTGGAGACTTTGCTTCCAGCCTGTACTTTCAAACCAAACAAGTTCAGAGAAGCAGAGCGTGGAGCTGTGCTGCTTCTTCCAAAGTGGTGCTTAAAGTGTTGCTGTGGCTTTGTTCTGTGAGCTGTGAAATGGTTGAGAGGAGCATTAGGACGCCCAGCATTTCTKCATCTCTTGACTTCCTGGGATGTCAGGAATATTAGAGGCTGTCTGAATCCTCAGCAGATGCTCCAGGCTTCTAAGAGCATTTCTCTGGTGAGTCAGGAGGTCAGACGAATCATGAGGGGYCTAAATGCCTCTCTCAGGTTTGTCCATGCTGGCTTCTGGTAGTGTAGTACAGCAGTGTTCTTGGTATATTTTAAATAAGGTGAATGGATTTATTCCTCTTTGGAAAAAGCTTGCATTGTATTATACAAGTTGGTCTGGCTTTTAATTTATTTATTTCGTGTGGATTTTTTTCCTTATTTTGCTAAGAAAGTAATGCTAATGGAAAAATCCTTTAGATACAATTCCTGCATGAAATCTTACTGAGGTCTGATGGTCTCAGTGTACCCATATTCTAAAAAAACAGGCTTATCAACTATCTCTACATGCTGGTAGCCCTTAAGCAGGGGGATAACCTGCCAGGGCCTAGTAATAGATAAAAAGGCCGTGTAAAGTACAGCGTGTCTTACAAAATATATGTGGAATTCAAAGTCCAGTGCTGCAATAAAATTTGTCCTCCACTGAGTTGTAGCTGCCAAGAAATAGATAGGAGGAAGCCTGATGATATGGCACGCTACAGTATCTTGAGCGAGTCCAACCTTTAGTTGATTCAGAGCTAACAATCTATTTTAAGAAAGCAACAGAGCAGCATATTTGTGTCAGCAGAGCCCAGAAAAAGTGGAAATGAAGCAGTTTATCCAGGAGTTAACAAAGCCGAGGCTATTTTTTCAGGCAGACAAGAGGATTACCCAAACACTGGCTGGGTTTCGGGTAGCACTGGCCACAGATACTCTGATGCTGCCTCTGTCTCACTGTTTTGGGCYACAAAGGTGAGTTAGGGACGGCAGGAGCAGACAAGCCAGGGCCCATTTATTACCTGAGCTCAGCCAGTGTGTGAATATTTGCCAATCCAAAACTCTCTGAAGGTTCTGCCTCTTTTCCATGAGGCTGGTATTGGCCATTACCTTGGTATTAATGGAGTTTACTGGCCTTAAACACAGCCCAGTAAACTCTCTGAATTATTTTGTGTATTTTTCCTCTCTTTCCCAACTGAGAGCGAAATAATTGTGAATGGAGAATAACTTTTCCCTGCAGGTAGCCCTGCAGCACTAGGGCAGCTGCATGTAGGCGATGAGATCGTTGCTATCAATGGCACCAAGGTTTCACATATGGACTCTGGTCAGTGGGAAGAAGCCATCGCCAGAGCTCTAGAAACTGGAAACCTGCTCATGGATGTCAGACGATACGGGAGGAGCGGTGAGTTGTGCAGGGCAGGCRCCGTGCGCTCTGCGAGGCCAATAAGCTGCGGCGCCCGGCGGCCTCGTCTCCCTTGCAGGAGCAGCACGGGGCTGAGCTCAGTAGTTGCCTGGTGCTCGGGGCGTTTTAACACGACTTGCCTGGGTGTTTTCTGCAGCTGCTTCTGCGTTACACGCGTCTTGGCRCGAGCGAGTCTTGTTGAGGGCTGAACTGCTGACCTCTCCTGCGCTCTGGCCCCTTCCTGGGAGAAGGCCCGGCTAAATTGTGCTGCCGGCACACCAGGGAACAGAAAACTCTTCTGCTAGCTCACCCAGGYGGAATAGGGGCTTTTCTTAGAGGATAGTAATTCTTGGAACCTCATTCAGCTCTTTTCCTCCCCTTGTTTCTTGAGGGAAGGAAGATCTCATGCCCTTTCTTCAAAGAAGGGGATTTGGTGGCCACAAAGCTTGTAGTTGAAGCAGCTCCTTCCGGCCTGTGATTTTGGCCACTGACACAAATGCTGGGTTGCTGCAGCCCCTCAGCACGGGCTGCTGGCCATCGTGGTGAGGGAGGGATCCATAGGGATCCGTCCTGCCGGAAGGCCTCATCGCGACTCCCGACACGCCGTGGGATGGGTCAAGGTACCCTCTCCTAGCCGCTTTTGCCAGTGTTTGAAGTGTGACCCCTTAGTTCTTTTGGAATATAATGATCCACAGCCCTTTTAGTGGGAAGATGGGTAGAATTGGATATTGGGAAGTGGAAATAAATTAGTGAGGTGAAGAAGAGAGAGCAGAGGTGAAGACTAAAGTTAGTCTGAAGAGCGGTGGTGTAGGATTGAGGACAAATTCATGATTTGTCCTCCTCTCGTTAGTTTTGCCAGTTCAGCTTGAACTTTTTATTTAAAACCTTTTGGGGCCTTTCCTGAGTAGCATGGACACAAAAGACACCTGCCCTCAGTATTCTCTATTTCAAAAAGTAGCTTGTGTGAACTGACGTTGGGAGAGTTTCCTTGTTTCTTACTAATGGAATAATTTCCAATAACTACTAACTCTTGGCAATGGTGGGCAGCAGCAGTCTGCATCCCGGGCAGCTCTGATCTAGCTTTGACTAACCCTTGTGTTTTGGGGGAAGGCGGTCTGCTCCTAAAAGCCCCTTTTTCTCTCTCTGCAAATTCTGCCTGATTYGTATGTCTCCCTCTTGTTATGTGTGTCTGGGTTGTTTTTGTTTTCTGTTTTTGTATTATTTGAGTGTGGTTTCTCTAACTCTTGTTCTGTTCTTTGAATTACTGTCTGCGTTTAATTTCTTCATCTCCACCTACCAAAAAGATTGGGGCGCAGACCAGCCTTCCCTGCCACATGTAAAGCATAAAATCCTCAATCTCACCAGTATGGCTACCAACATTATAGGTGCATCCGAAAATAAATGGGTTGATGCAACTTCTGGAGAACAAGTTTCAAGCACTTCAACYGTCTCCCCCAAAAGAGACTTCTCCAGCAGCCGTCAGAGTCCTGTGAGTGTCTTTAAAGGGTCGTGGCATTTGCGGGGGAAGAAAAAAGTCAAGATTTAAGGCTTTAGTGGAGGGGAACAGGAGGGAGAAGAAGAAATTACTTAAGAGGAAATTACTCCAGAAATGTTATTTATGCTTGTTTATGTGCTTGTTGCAAGGAATTGGTATTTTTGCCAATAGATACATAAATACACAAATAGATGAAGCTATTTATTAAGGTAAATAAAATCTGGCTACTGTCTGTTTGTGAGTATAGGCTCTGTATTAACATATCTGTAGGCTGTGTTTTGACTAAATGGTTGCTCTTTAGAAAGGTATATTATTCCTTGATCAGCTTAGATGTGGCTTGTAGTGTGGAAGCCCAGGAGGTGTGCATGCTCCCAGGTTGTTTGCAAATAACTCCCTACATGCCAAGGAGCTGAACTGGGAGAATTACACCAGCTTCTCCCCTTCTTTGCTCTTTTCCAGGATGCAGAAGCCAAATTGATCAATGGGATGCAAGGGGATCTTGGCTCCACGGACCAGCGAGGTAAAGGGCCTTTGCTTTTCCCCTGCTAATTGCCTGGCCTTGGAGCAAGCCTGGGTACTAACCCTGTAACCATCGTGAGCTTTGCAGAGCGGGCGGCCCGAGACCCTCACGGCCCCAAAGCCAGCCAGGTGGCACCGGGATCTCAGTGCGGCCAGGCCGCCTGTAGTTGGATTCCACAGGGCGTGAAACAGTCGGGGGACTGACAGCCTCACGGTGACCAGTCCCTCGTGGCAGTGGCTGTAAATGGCCTGCGTGGTGGGATGAGAGCTGTGGAGGGCACGACGCTGATGAGAGCTGCCACGGCGCTGCGTAGAGACCGAGTGAGCGCATCCGTCTAGCTCTCCATTTGGGAAAAGAGTATTCAAYGTTTTTTCTTGTCCTAACTCAAGTGTAGGGGTTATTCCCGTTTTTGTTTTGTTTTTAACTTGTATTCCTGGAGAAAATGTTGCTGGTTTCTGGTRTGACCAAGCGTAGCTTTACTTGGCGACGGAGGGAGAAAGCAGGTATGTCTGCCTCCTAGTGGATACAGCAGCCCGAAAATGGGAACCTGTTGTTTTCTCTCACACCTGCTTGGTGGTTTGTGAGGGAGTTTGCCCTGAGGGGTCGGCTGCCCCATGGAAATGCCTTCCTGCTGGATTCAAGTGGAGCCTGTGCTCCTCAGGTGGCATCTCCAAGGGGGCTTCCTTTGGACTAGGGAGGAGCCTGGAGTCCTTGTGGGACCTCGTGCTGCTGTCACAGTTGGACAGTGTGAGTGCTAGAGAGAAATRCTGCCCAGTATATAGTGTAACCTGTTAAAAACTATATCTGCTGTTACAAAAGCTCAGATTTCCTCTGTGTTGCAGGTATTTTGAAGCGCCAGTGCAGTAGATTAGAGGTCTGACAGATGTTGCTGGCTCTCCAGTGGTGGTGATAACTTAGGAGACAACAGCACCTCACTGACTTGTTTGTGTTCTTTGTATTTTTTCAAATAGCAGCTGAACCCATTTCTTTGAAAAACTTAAAAAGGCGGTCACAGTTTTTTGAGCAAGGTAAAACAGAGCTAACCTCTCCTGTGCTTCCCATGAAATTCCTCCTGCTGCCCCCTCTTCCTCACAAGGCTCGGGTGCTGGGAATGGTGCCTCTTCTGCATTGCTTGACGCAGCTTTGATAAAGCAACGTAATCATTTCCCTTCTTTCCCCAGGGTCGTCAGGTTATTCTTACAATTCATGGGTCTACCTTTGTGGTAATGGGCCTTTGTGTGTTCTCTTATATCTGAAGCTTTTTAAATGTCTTACATGTTATATGAGCTTTTTCTTTTCCTTTTTTTTTTTTTTTTTCTCCCCCACTGGGTAGGAGTAAGAAATACAGCACTCTGTGTCCAGATTTGCTACTACCTACAAACCAGACAAATGCTGACCATTTCAGTGGAGCTTTAGAGCAGAATTCAAAGCGATTGGAATTTATTTGCAGTCACAGCTCTGTAACTCCATCCAAATTGACCCGCTGCAGCCAGCGGCTGCTGGCCTTCTGTTATGTGGCCATGCGCCTGCATYCCAAGGAAACCAATATAAATTTTGGATTAAAAGTGGTATTTTTAAAGGCGGAATGCGGCGCTCGACTTTGGTTTTGTAGGTTGCTGTGTGGGGTGTTGCATGGCACCGCTCACGGGCTCCCACCCCGCTCCGTGCCTCACGCTGCCTTCAGGCTCTGTGTGCTTTGCTCTGTGGCCTGTGAGAGTGAAGTGCTGGCCCACTGGAAGCCCTGGGCGAACTTTGCCAGTGATTTTAGTGGAGCCAGGGCTTGGGCCTCCGTGCTGATGGCTTCCTTTGGGTTTTTATTCCTTTTCTTTCTCAAGAAGCGATATGTGAAATGCCAGAGCTTCAGTCTGTGTTTATGGTTCTGTGTGCTTTCAAACACTTGCCTTGCGTTTGTATCTGCAATGCGAGTGAAGTTGCTGGGTATTTTGCTTGATCGGATATTTAAAGGCTTGTTATGAATTTTGATTTTGTTTGTTAGCTTTCTAGCAATATTTAAAGTATTTGACCTTTGCTTTAGGGAGAGGACATCTTTTTCAAGTGTCCATTCAATGCATCTTGATCCTTTTCAGCCTCTGATACCTGATATTGCAGGAAAATGCAAGGTGGCTCTTTTGGGGTGTGCGTAGGCCGGCGGAGGTGTCTGGGGTGAGGAAAGGAGGCAGCGAGGTGGCTGTGTCCTCTGCTCCTCCACAGCATCCCCTGGTGCAGTCGCACAGGGCGTCGAGTCCCGGTGTCGCTGCGGCTCTTCCAGTCTCACAATGAAGAGAAAAGCATGCCCAAGTAGATKAGACACTCACCTGTGATTCATCAGGTTTATTTTTAACCAAAAACTCCCCTCCTTCCCAGCTCCCTCTGCCCGTGCTGTAGAGAGATGTTTCAACTCTCTCTACATCTCGATTTTTTTTTTCTGTAGTCTCTCCATACAAATCTACCTTTTTTTCAAACTGCAATTTGGGTAGCTAAGTAACAGGTTCACTAGCAACAGCCACAAATCAAGATGTCAGATGATGCTTAGGGAGAGGTTGCCCTTACATTTGTCCTTGCCCCTATCTTACCCCTATCTTACTTAGTTTTATTGTTAGCATAGCGCGTGCCCCTCTCAGCCGTGTTGTCATGGGCTAAAGGAGAGCACGATGGCCTGGCCTGGCCCAGCTCGTGGGGAGCACTGACAGGCCCCAAGGCCAGCGTGCGTTTGGGAGCAGAAAGGAGGGCAGCGGCCAGGGAARACGCTGCTCTGGGCTGGAGCAGTTGCCCTGGAGGTCTCTTGCTGGTGCTTCACGCCCAGGGCAATGCTGAGCACAGTGACAGGAGGGCCAGGGCCAGTAACTGCTGTCCTGCTGCCCTGGGAGCGCTGCTGCCCGCAGCACTTGCTGGTGGCACCTGAGGCATGGGAAGCTTCTTGGCAACACCACACGTTAGCTGGAGGCACCTCGGGAATTCTGCCCTCCACTAAATGAAGGAGGGTCGGATGCAAGCATGGCTTACACAAGAAGCAAACAGTAGCATGAAATTAAGACTTTCCATGTTTAAGTCTTGCAGTAACAAATATGGTTTTAACAATTTCTATTTTTTTTCTTTGCCTTCTATTCTGACGCCCTGCAGGAGGCCCAGAGACTGCAATGCCTGATGTAAGTGCTATCTACAAACTGCTTACTAGCTGTATAACCCTGGTGGTTTTAGGAAACCCTCAGTTTTGTGCTGCTTTTTGCAGGGCCTTCCTTAAAATTCTGGTCAAGTAACTCAAATGGTTGACTTAACTTCTTTGTGTGTGTAAGCKAATGGTTGCATTCTGCTTCTTTGGAAAAGTGTGGATTTAGGTGCTTGTCACTGTAAAGCTATGCTCTTTGTAAGGCCTTCTGTATTTCTCATTGTGTAGGAAAATGCATTTTAAAATGTAGAGTGGTGATTACCTGGGGAAAGATGACAAAATACCTCCTTTCTGTGATTCTCCTTTAGCTCCCAGTCCCAACCATTAGCGCCCCTACTCGCCGGGTTTGGGATCAAGAAGAAGAACGAAAACGACAGGAAAAATGGCAGAAGGAGCAGGAGCGTTTGCTGCAGGTAAAAGTGGTGCCCATAACCACGAGTGGCATCCTTTGGGGGGCTAGTAACTGCCAGGGAAGAAAACCTTCCCAATTCCTGAAGCTGTTGATAATGCCAGGAAGAGTTTCAGATGGTTTTTGGCAGAATAGAAACRCACACAGGCCACTCCCTGGCAAAAAAAAAAAAGGGGGAAGTGCATTAGTGAGCTCCATGAAATCAAAACTTAGGCTGCGTGTTCACTATAGGCAGCAGTCCTCAACCACTGCAAGGCTGGGATGGTCTTGCCTGCAACATAATTAAACATAAAGGGCAAGCAGAAACCTAAGCGGCAGCGGGCTTCACTTCTGAATCCATTTTGCTTTTAATAAAGTTGTCTCTAGGGTGGTGGTTACCTTTAATTTGAGGTGTCACCTTGTGTTTGGAGAAGGGAGCCCTATTGCCTTGGGTAGGTGCCTGTTACCATCCTGTTTATTGGCCACCCTGATTCCCAGCTGTTCAGGAAGCTGAAGCTACTGACAGGCTCCAGCCTTCTCCTCTGATCTGCTGGAACTGGAGGAAAGGATGATGTGTTTAGGACACTAATTAAAAGCTAAAAATAAATAAATAAAWATGGTTCAGAGTTGAATGGGTTATATTGCAACGGGCTGTGGTTATTGCTATAAGACTTCTGTCTGAAAATAAAGTTCAGGTTAGTTACCTCAAGTTGGCTGGCTAGCAGAGACATTGGTGAACATCACTTGCTCTGCAGAAGGCCTCTGAATGATGATGCCTTTAGATGTCGGAGCTTTCAGGATGCAAGTGCATTAGCAAATCCATTGCTCAGAGGATATTTCATGTTTTCCCATTCCTCCTAGCCTGTAAAGTCTGCAGGGCTAGAGCTGAACCTTCCTCAACATCTGTGTGATTCTGTTTTGGGTCCTTTGGGTCTTGAAATAATGAAATTTGGCTACTTTTTTTCTTCCCAAGAGCAGTCTCAGCCCTTTCCTATCACATCTTTCTTTGCTTCTCCTTTAAAGAACTAAATATGGCCAAAGCAATAATGTACCCTTTCTTCCTCATGATCTCAATAATGATTTCTTCAAATAACAGAGAAAAAATTACTCTTTTGCTTACTGTAGCATCTTAGAAGGAACACTTTGGACATGGCTAAGCATTTTGCTTTACCCAAGACCTCGGTGGCAGCTAAGCCCACCAAACCATGTATTGTATGCCTTGAGTAATGCCGTGAGACATTGCATGGATTTCACACCAAATCCAGTCAAAGGACAAATTCAGAGGTCCTGAAATTGGCTTTTGTTTAGATAAGCCTCCAAAAGATTCTTGCTCAAACCAAATGATTGCCTCATATTTCACTCAGAGGGCACTTGGTGTTTACCTTATTACAGTGTCCAGTTCCAAGTTAAACACAATTACTGTCTTTCAAGAAATACCTTGCATAGCTCGGGTTTGTTCAAATGGAAACTCAACTGTAAGGCAGGGAACGTAACTGATGTAGAGATGGTTGTTAGGAGAGCCTGCAGGTAAACCTGGATTCTGTGAAATCCCCGACCAAATTCCCTTTGAGTCAGTCCATTTGGGCCAGTGTTTTGCTTGCTCATGCCAGACCCAATGTCCTTCTGGAGCTCCAACATGTTCTTACCACACCAGTCTGTTCTAAGTCATTTATACACATTAAATATGCTGCTCTGATGTTTTAATGCAGGTAAGATATTCTGTAGTTCTTATTTGTGTGTCTACCTTTAACCTAACAGGAGAAATACCAACGGGAACAGGAGAAACTGAGGGAAGAATGGCTACGAGCTAAGCAGGAAGCAGAAAAGGAGAGTTCCAAATATCTAGATGAGGTAGGCAGTGACTGTAGCTTAACCTGTAACAGGACAATTTCATCACTTCTTGTTTCTTTTTTCTCCACTCTCTTCACTAATAGTAGGGAAGTAATTTGCATTGTCACATATCTTCTCTTTCTGGAAAATACATACTTCTAAAATAAAAATACTGTCTATGATTTGGCTGGACGCAGTCATAGGATGCCAAGATAAGGCAAGAAGAAAGGTTTTTGCAACCTGTTTTGCCTGATAGATGAGTTAAGTAACTGATATCAGAAATAAATTGGCCAAAAGTTATAACGTATGTGATTTTATTGCGACCAGAATGAGAAGATCTCCTTTGTTGCTGAAAGATATTTAACTCCTTGCGTTGCCTGTTGAAACTGCTCCGCTGCTTCAGCATTGCCCCCATTCATAAGTGGCTTCCTTGTTGCTGTCATCCTGTTCATCTTCTCTGTGATAAACTTGCATATTAAATGAGCTTTAGCCTTGCAGTGTTTCAAAATACTGCGGGCATCCAGTTTGTTTCATACAGGAAAGACATTTTTCTTTCATGTATGTGGGAGATGTTTGAGATCTCCGTTGCTGTAGGAGATCAAGGAGTGCTGCTTCAGGCATTCTGGCCACAGCAGTTGCAGTTGGGTTTATAGAGAGTCGGGAACAAGATGACTCTAATTGGAACCTTAGGACTTCAGTGAGAAATCTCTAGACCTGTTGGAGGGCTTGGCAGCAAGAGAATGCAAGACAGGTCACCTTTGTGATCATTAAAATCAAAGACTGAACCAGTCTTTCATTGGCACAGAGTATAGGTTCACATCAATTAAAAGATTTTTAGGCCTCTGAAAGACCTTTTCTCTTGTTTGAGAGAAGTGTCATAGAGTGGCAGGGCTGAGCGTGACGTCCGGGTGCTTGAGGGACCCGGGAGGRTGGGGGCTGCTCCATGTGCAGAGTCATGTGGGATTCATTAGTCTGGAATGTGCTTGGAGTGCTTCCCTTAAGTAGGTCTCAGGTTTCTGAGTAAGAAGAGTAAGAAAAAACGTTGGTATGCATGGATTTTTATTATTGTGGGCATCACAGAAGCGTTTGTTTACAGTGGGGATGTAAGTGGAGACGAGCTGGGCTCGAAAAGTGGTTTTCAGATGCTTTAGAAAGGATGCTTCACATGCTGGTGGACACATCAGCCCATGGAGCTGAATAACTCTGCTTGAAATAATTGCATGAAACAAAACTTGCAGTAGGAGAATGTGCTCGTAGCCACTCAAAACATGAAACCCAAGAACACGGCGTGCACTGCACGGAGAAACGGGGGTTCATTTTTATCCTAGTCCCCTGTTACAGAATAAACAGCCCCAAAGCCCCAGCTTTCCTCCCTCACCGAAACCTTCTCCCTCTTCCTGCTGCAGGAGCAGACGGTCCTGACGGCAGAGCCCGCGTCCCTCCCTGCACGGGCGTCCGGCTGGAGCGCTCCCGACGAGCGGGACACGAGCGGAGGGAGGCAGCCCGCGGCAGCCCCGCAGGAGCAGCACCCAGAGGAGCTCCAGGAGGCCGAGCAGAGCCAGGAAGAAGCAGCTCTCCGCTGGCAGCAGGAACGGGAGCTCCAGGAGCGGGAGCTGGAGAGGCAGCGGGAAGAGCAGGAGCAGCAGCGGGCGGAGGAGCGGAGGCAGCGCCAGGAGAGGCAGAGGGAAGCGGCGGCCGAGCCGCCTCGCTACCAAAGGTGGGCAGGGGCAGCTGCTCTCTTCCACCTGCACAGGGATTCAAACACWCTTGAAGCAAGTGCAGACATCCCACATGCATTGGGAAATTCCTGCCCACTAATACTCCTTAGTTCACATTGTTGCAAACGGTTTTATCTTAAGTAAACCTGGTTGATTTTGCCCTGCAATCGTTAGAAATAATTACATGTKCATCTTTGCTTTTTGTCTTTCGAAGCTTTTTGGTAATAGCTTAAACTGCTGCAGCTTGACAACAAATGCCATAAGTGTCATATTGACGTTTTATTGCACAAATTTTCCAGCTGAGGCTGCTCATCTCTTAAAAAGTCAAAGAATTGGGTCTAAGGCAGACTCCTTCCTCAAGTAACAAGTGCTCTTTTAACCCACTTCTGCTCATTTCTGAACAGGAAATTAAGTATAAATGCCCTAATTGCAGCCAAATCAAAGATGACCTGAAGCACTTAATTGTGGAAAATACAGAGTTTCTCCATAAAATTGTAGATTGAAAGCTAGTTGTTCAACATTATAGGAAGAACTAGTGAGTTAACTGTTCTCCAGCAATTACATGTCTGTTTTCAAGAGATTTCCCTCCTTTCAGTTTGACAGTGCAACAGTACAGTTAATTGCTGTATTAATTATCCAGTAAGGGGCATCATGATATCCGAGAGGACAGACACTGGCTTAGATACTGCAGCCTGTTAGAGGTATCCACTGTGGGTATATTTATTCTAGATGTGAAGCAGTTTTTCTTCAACAGCCGATTAATTGCATTTTTKGGGGGTCAGCTGATTTACAAGCACGTGTTCTTGCCCGTAACAGTTTCTTCCTTCTGTTCCAGGTGCCATGGGAGGTTAATCTGTCTGAAAGGCTAGGAAAACTTTTTCTTGTGTCATTGTGCACTTTACTCACACACAAGGCAGCAATTTTTGTTGATTCTCTTGAGGGCTTTCCCCTTCCCTGTTCTACAGCAAAAAGAGATGACTGAAGATAATGCTTTGTATCAAGTTAAATCTTAGGAGAAGAGAAGAGGGCTACAAAATTGCCTGGATTGTGAGGTCTGGAGTTACTCTGATGTTAAGTGGCTGCTGCTGCTGCGGTCCCCGCTGAGCGAAGCCGAGGCACAGCTGCTAACGTGGCTAAACAGGTTCTTCTTGGCAGCCTGAGTATCTCCACAGTCCTAGCTTGCCACAGAGGTTGGATAATAAGACTTTGTGCGGTAACTTATTAAGCTGTCATGATGTAATTGCATATCTAAAGCCTTGATAGATACTTCAGTCGTGGAGGGTTTTGTTGCTCCTGAGATTGCCACAAAAGGACGCGTGTTGCTAAACACGGATAGCTTGGCTTAATATTAAATGAACAGGTTCAGGTAAACTGCAGTCTTAGGTACCTGCTGTGAAATGTTTGTTTGTGATGGCACAGGTCCAGTCTGGCGTGTTCCACAGCCCTGACAAGGTACGAAAACCTGATGCCTTCCCCAAGGAGCTGTGCTCGCTGTCAGCTAGTGGCAGAGCACTGAGCCTGGGGGCAGGCAGGTAGGACAGAGCTTCATCCGTCCAATTCCTTTAGTATTTCTCCCTCTGAATCGCAGGCTACGTGCAGAAAGTTTGCTAGAATATACACCCAGCTTGTATCGGGCTGCAGTGCTCAGGCCCAGCTTACATCTGCCTTTGAGACAGGGGACAGAAGCACTGTCCTTTACTGATGCCTGGGATTTTTTACAGTGCTTCCTCATGGATTTGCTTCTTCCTAACCAATACACTTGAGCTTTCTTGTTTTTTCTCTCTGTATGCCTACTGTTTGTTCAACTTCAATTTTTTTTTTGTTTAATATATATTTAATTGTGCCTGTGTTTTGCTTATAGACATTATGAACGCTATGAAGCATCTAAAACAATAGAGGATCGACCTGGCCATCCCCTTGTTGACAGGTAATACATTGAACTGCTAGGGAGGCTGAAACACTCTCTTCAGCAGTAGCTGTGAACCTGTTTGACAGGCTGAGCTCAGCTGCTTTGCCACTTGCAAGCACTTCCAGGCAGMTTTGCCAACAACCTTATTTTGGGTCCTTTTGTTTCTGGCTAGTAAGACAAACCTGTTTAGGACACTGACCCTTTTTGCATGTTTCAGAGTCTACTCTGAGTATTTTTAGTAAGAAATATGTGTATTTCTGAATTTTCTGTATCTTTTTCAGTCTTGGAAATTGATAATCCCTCTTGTTTGTAGGCATTATGAGCGCTACGAGGTTTCCAAAACCATCGAGGAGCGGCCTGATCAGTCATTTGCTGACAGGTACGTGGGATATTGGATTTCAGCATCATCTATAACATCTCTGTTTGGGGCAGAAGGCTCTGAAATGTCCAATAACCTCAACTGTGGTTATTATGTTGATATTATGTCTCGCTGCTGTGTTTTGCAGTTTTGCTGTCATGTTTTTATCTTGAGGAGCAAAAGGAGCCCAACTTCTGGCAGGTTTTAGGCTGCGTTGTAAACAACAGTTACTCAGCAGGACTCTAGTGGGGGAAGCAGAACCATAAGGAAGTCAATACGTGGGTGGCACCAGACTTACCTGCCTGGAAAACAGCCTCAGTTAAAGCTGGGGTTGTGTCACAAGGTGCTGTGCCAAGGGAGGTGCCACCGGCCGTCCTCGYGGCTCCTGTGAAACCCGAGGTGGCAGCAGGGAGGGAGGGGACAGGGAGCAGCAGCTCGTGCCACACGTCAGGTTACAGGGTCTGCTCTGTGGCTGTTTTCATCTAGTCTGAGCAGTTTGATAGTTTTTTGTTTGATTTTTTKGGGGATTTTTTGATTCGTTTCAATAGAATATGTGGGCTATTACAGACTTACTGGGTCTTTGAATAGACAACTCTTTGAATTTAGTGTTTGTGTTAAACAACAAAACAAAAACCTCCATAAAAACCCTAAATTTGCAACACCTCTGTGAAAATTTGTCCTTGGTAGCATCTTATTACACTTCCAAAGGATGATCTCTGCTGTGTATTTAATAAGTTTTTATARTTTGAATCAGCATGTCCTTCTGTTATGAGGAACCTCTGCATTTAATGAGGTACAGCTTCAGGATCTATTTAGATCCTGAAAGATGTAAAACTTCAGAAAGTTGCCTTCATTATCTAGCTCCCTCTTGAATTAATATTTAATGCATATATTTTATATATAATATTATATATATTAATATATATATTATATATATTAATAATATATAATATATATATTATTAATATATATATATTAATTAATTAATAAATATATATATGTGTGTATATTAATTAATATTAATTAATAATATATATATGTGTGTATGTGAAGAGGGAGGTCCAGGTGCTGAAGCCCAGGGTGCCCTGCTCTCTGCAAGTCCTGTTCCCTACAGACAGGGCTGCAGCTGGCTCCTCTCAGATGAGGAGATCAGCACTGCACATCAGAGAGCCAGAACTGGGGGGAGCAAGAACTCCAGTGCAATCTGGATATGTGTCATTTACCTGTCAATAAAGCACAATACACCCTTTATGCTCTATTAGCCAGCAAATGTCACAGGGCTAAAATGCTGCTGTGCAGCCACCCATAGCTTTGCCGTTGAGGTGGTGGCCCAGGAAAGGAGATCAGTTTCTTTCTGAACCATTTTAAAGTGAGAAGCTGGCAAATAAGACTGAAAAGAAACYAGAAAGCTGTTGCTAAAGCTCCCTTCCGTACTGTCAGCAAACCATCTTTTTGCCATATGTTTTCCTGCATGTTTGCATGGCCTTTCTTGGCTAATATTAATTTTAAAAATGGTGCTGGGCATAATCAGTGAACAGCAAGTTCCCAAGAACAATCTGTGTGCCGTATTTGAGGACGTGCTTTGTCCACAGTCCAGCAGCACTGTTGAAGTGTGTTCGTATTTTCTCACAAACTTAAGTTATTTTAGATACTTGCTCTGAAAATTGCCGCTCTGACCAGAGTCTTTGCAAAGCTTCCCTGAGGATAGGACTGTGTCTCGGACTGTTTTTATTCAATAAATACAATGCTTGTCCGCTTAGAGCTGAAAATGGGAACTTTTGCAAGTCTTTAATACATGGCTATCTTTTTCGGCTAATATTGATGTCTTCCCTCCCCTTAATATCCAGTTGTCTTTTTGTCCATCTCCAATCTGTTTGGTTGATGAGAGGGCTGCTGAAAGGAAGCGCTGGGCATCTGCAATTCGAAGTGATAAGGTCATTGTCTGTGACTGGGTTTATTAGTTGAGATGGAAAAATGTTTTTTTTTTTCTGTGGCTTTTAGGAATAAGTCCAAGTCAACTTCAGAACTGGATGAAGTCACAACAAACAAGAATGGTAAGCACTGTTTAATTTAACACTGTTCTTTAAAAGAATCTTTCTTGGAAACTGGTCCAGCATCAGATGTAATCAGTCTAACTGGGTTAATTGTCGAAGGCCTTTTTGATAGCTGCATGATACTTCAAAACATGGCCCAGTCTATTGCGTTTTAACAGGAAGAGAAAATGGATACAGCCAACAGATAGGTCTGAGAAAAATATAATTACCTGTTCTCTTGAGTGTCTGAGCAGAGGTTACAAAGGAGAGTTAGATGCCTAACTTTTAGATGACTGAAACTTTACAAGATAAACTGTCCTGTAGGCCTAGCACTCAAATTCTTGTATGTGCTCATGCTGTGTTTGCTCTGTCAATAAAAAAGGCCCCACATACCAAGGTGAGAGGTGCTTGGCACAGCTGCCAGCAGTTCTTAACGCCTGTTAGTGTAGTGCTAACACAGCCAGGATTCAGTGCTTGGTACTGTCCTGTCACAGTAGCTTTATTTTATTTTATTTTATTTTATTTTATTTTATTTTATTTTATTTTATTTTATTTTATTTTATTTTATTTTATTTTATTTTATTTTATTTTATTTTATTTTATTTTAATTTCCCCAAGACCCTGCTGCTTTTCTTGAGTTGCCTTTTTCAGATATGTAAATAATTTTCTAAATCCCTTACAGCAATAAACTTCTAAAAGCAATTTCTGTGTCTGAAATGCATTGGAAAAGGTTTTACACTAATAGTGGATTTACACTAATAGTGGGTGACAGTGAAATGAGTGGATACGAGTAAAATTACTAAATAAATGGCTGCAGCAAGATGACTTGAAACAGAAGCAGACAAAGGAGATGTATATTTTTATATATATTAAACTTGAGCTGTGAGTTTGAAAAGAATACTTACTGTATTAGAGGAAATATGAATTGACAATAGTGCTTGAAACATTAAAACTTGGTCATTGAAACTAATGAGAGAATAAATTTTCACCATAATGTATAATGGTGACGCGTAGCAATAAAACAGAGAAAAACTGTAGTCAGAACACAATTTATAAGGTTTGAAATTTAAATTCAAGTGACTTATTTCAGAGTAATTTTCTCAATTCAGTAGTTGAACCATAAAGGATATTTATATTGTTTAGAAAACAAAGGTGTTGCCATCTAACATTTAAACCTATATTAAAGATAATTTGTTTGCCTCCTCTTTCAAAATTTCAGGCAGGGATCAAAAKATTTTCTATGCCATAAATGGCACTTCCCCTGCTTACTTAACAGAGCCTCCAAATGATAGAGGAAAATCTCTAAGATGTAAGGATATATGTATCAAGATAAGCATTTCAAGGTTAAGCAGAGTTTCTAGCACCTTGAATAGGAAAAAAAATCTTGAAAACAGAAATGACTTACAGAAAAATAAAAAGTCTGAAGGGGGAAGAAGGTATTCTACCATTCAGTTATRTATTGTACATATGCTCCAGTGATACTGGAGAGGAAGAATCTAACTTGTGGAGCTAACAAGTGCCGTGCTCTTTTAAATGCCTTTCAATAAAACTGAAGGAAAACACCTATTTATGGGTGGAATTGAACATCATTTAAAGGGCCACACTAAAAGCAATACATATAAAAGAGTTTATTACAAAAAAATATTGTGAAGTTTGATGCTGATAATTTGAAACCCGAATCTGAAAAGGGAACTAGAAAAACCTGTGAACTGTGGTGAATTGCTGCTCCTAGAACCATATCCAGGGTTCTGGGTGCTTGGTATGTRGCTATGTGCCTTAAGACGTCTAGGCAATGTTTCTGCACGTTGCTCAAGCAGGTACCCACAGCAAGCACTCGGAAAGGTCTTGGAATACCAGCGAGTCACAGAAGGGGTCTCAGAAGGAGCACGTCCTGTCTGCAGCAGAGCTGGAGAGACAGCAAATCCTGCAGGAAATGAGAAAGAAAACATCTCTGCATACGGACAGCAGCTGGATTAGGCAGCGCAGTGCCAGTGTGCATAAGGAGCCCATCAGTCTGTACGGCAACAGCATGAGGAGGTAGGAATCATCTCAGGAATGAACTTGGTCTCTCATTAACTGCTCGTATTTGGTGGTTCAAAGCTTCGGTTCGTATTACAATTACAGAAGCAAATCCAGCCTGTAAAAATACTGTGAGGTAGCCTGGGTGGCAGGACAGAAAGTGGCCTCTGTGAGAGGTGGGATTCAATTTTGGTGAGTACAGAGCCTGGAGGGATGTCTCTGTGACTCCTTTTCTCTTGGTGAATATAGCACTAGCAGTAGAAATCAGTAGTGCACCTTGCCACTGACCAATTCATTAAGAAGTTCAGTATGACTGTTCATTATGGAAACTGATTATTATAGCTAAATCATACCTCTTTTACATAGAAATACAATTTTGGAAAGTCTAGAGTTGCTGTCTTGCTTTAACATGTAAACGTTGGGTCTGTCCCTTTGGAAACAGGCCGAGTTATCAGTCATGGGAGTGTTTGGCTCTTGCACCAACACCTTGTTTGTAAACCACGTCATTATCCAGTGGCGGGTGGGTTGTTGTTTCCAAACTGGTATCCCTTGGAGAAAACAAAAACAAATCCACACTCTGAGCTATGCTGATATRCAATAGACCTGGATATAGTTCACCCCAGTAAGAGAACAATGAGGACTGCTGTGCTGTTGTTCTCTGGTTTTGGAGGTGAACCTTCCTTTCACCCCCTCCCTTGTTTTATCCCTGGCACCAACACTGGGCACAAAAGGTAGTTTGCAGCTGAAACACTTTACATCAGTGTGTTAGAAGTATTGCTCAGGGTGATCAAACAAGAATACTCTTGCTGGAGATCCTTAAAATGCTGGGATAATGTTTTCTTTTTTAAAAGCAGAATATGGCTCTTGGATTAGCTGTGCTGCCCCTCACGTTTGCCATTGTAACTGTATTACAGGGGCGAGTCCTTGGACAACCTCGATTCCTCAAGAACAAGCTCCTGGAGACCTCACTCGTGGATGAATCAGTCCGTGTCCTCCTCCTCCTCCTCTCTGTCATCTAGTCAGGACTTCAGTCGCCCAGTGTCCACGTCGAACCGGGCCTACATGCGCACTCCTTCCTCCAGCAAAGCACCTCCGCCCGCCAGCCCCGCCAGAGCCCCCGCTCTGTCCCAAAGTGCCCCCCGGGCCCCCTCACCCAGCTCTGCCTCGCAGCCCGGGTCGCAGACGCACAGCAGGTCAGTAGTGTCCTCCTGCCACAAGTGTAAAACCCGTGGGGGAACTGCAGGCTCTCTAAGACACTGAGGTTTGCAGCAGTGTTCTCACCAATAGCCTTAATCAAGAAGTTAATTTCTTTCCTGTGAGGGTGCCAGAGCCCTGGCACAGGCTGCCCAGGGAGGCTGTGGAGTCTCCTTCTCTGGAGATCTTCCCAACCCGCCTGGATGCCGCCCTGTGCCCCGTGCTCTGGGTGTCCCTGCTGGAGCAGGGGGTTGCACTGGATGGTCTCTGGAGGTCCCTGCCAACCTCAACTATTCTGTGAAAACTGCCTTGAGTGTTCTGGCTGAAAGGGATGTTGGAGCTATGAGCTGGGGTTACCTCTCTGCTCCTTGCAGCCACGTAGAAACTTCCCCTAGCTTTATCATCACTGCTTTAGACTACCCCCAGAAAATAATAAMTCATCACTCTCCAAGCTGTTTGATCACCGGAATGATTAGTAAAAGCTTTYTCCAGATGGCATGTCAGGCATTTATTTTCTTAGGCTTCTTTTAACAAAAGATTCCTAAAACCCACAGTTTCCTGCCTTTATCTTCATTGCCTCTCCACCTGCCTGCTTGCACGTGGTCAGTATCTTTTAAGGAATGCTCATAACCAGTGACCCTGGAGAATTAGAGAATAGGATGTTGTCTTTAATCTTGGAAGGAGAACCAGAATAGCAACGTGCTTTGAAATAAAAAAGGAATTCAGTTGGTGCAGGGTAGATAACTGCTGTCTTACACACTTGATGCGTTCTAAAAAGTACCTTGACCTGAGACTGTAGAGAATCATCCACACACAATTACATGCACTATATAGAATAACACTGCAAAAACTCCTGTTGTGTCCCGAGGCACTTGATAAATTGACTGATTTCCTTAAAGCTAGGCTCCTGTAATCTTTATGCTACAAGAAAATCACCCTCTTAAACTTGTTCTCATTTCCATTTTCTGGTTTGCTAGCATCCCGGTGGATCTGTGGAAACTGCCCTCAGTGTGGCCTGCATTCCAAGAGTTCCCATAGTACTGTGTGTCCAGGATTGGCCTTCCTCTATCTAATACGGGGCAGATGGTGGTGCTTGGCAGGGGGATTGCCATGATACAGCCTGGAATGATTTCCTAAGAATAAGAAGTGAGGCAGGAGCAGGAAAAATAAAAATGTGTGTGTGCACTCTCCAAATTTAACAATATCCTTTTTTTTTTTAGGTTTATTTGTGAAAGGTGTTCTATGCAACAAAACATCTCCTGGGAATTTGACACAATTTTCTTRTTTGTTCCTATGTAACTTTCATTTAAATTAGCTTTAATTTAGATTTCTTTAGCTCTCATCTTTACTGTTTTTCCAAGGAGCATACCTAACAGTCCACTCATTACCAGTATTCTCTGGTTTTGCTTTTAATCTCAAAAAAGTCTCTGGTAACTTTCTCCTTGCCTTTTAAAACCTCTTTGAGCTGTTTTTTTTTTTAAGGACTTTCCTTCTGTATCTAGGTCGGTCAGCGGGAAGAAAATCTGCTCGTACTGTAATAACGTTCTGGGCAAAGGAGCAGCCATGATCATAGAGTCGCTGGCTCTCTGTTACCATTTGCATTGCTTTAAGGTGAGAGGCAGGAGCAGCGGCTGCGGGGCTCGGGGGCTGCGCTCGCAGGGGCTCCACTAACCCCCCCGCTTGGCCTCCCGCCCGCACGGCGCTGCAGGCGCCTTCCGTGGGGCAGGCGCCTTCCGTGGGGCAGGCGCCTTCCGTGGGGCAGGCGCCTTCCGTGGGGCCGGCCCCCGGCACGCACCTCCAGGGCAGGCTGACTTGTGTGACGCGGTTCTGCCACCTTGCATGGCCCCCCAAAAACTCAGGCGGTGCTGAGGCACCTCTCCTGGAGAAACCACGTCCCTTCCGAGTGTCTCACGTTTGAGATATCTGAATATTCAGTTGGCGGCTGAATTGTCTGAAGGCACCGATCCCTTCAGCTGGGAAGGGATCAGTCACTTCAGGTAATTCAGTTTTGCCCCACGCTGTGGAGCTGATTTTAGCAGACAGTGCCGATTTGGGGCATGCCTAGAGCTGAAAGAATTGTGTCCCTCTAAAAACACATAGAAATTAGTTCCCTTATTCTAGAACCAGATGACGAAGTCGGCTCTGATTTGAAGACCTCCTTGGAGCCTGCTTCCTCCAGCAGGTTTAGGAGGACCTCCTCTGTGTCTGGATCAGACCATTTTCAATCTGTGCCCAACTCTAATGCCTCAGCCAGAAACTTGCCAGGGATTAGAAGGCTTTTACTGTTCCTGCCCACATGAGGAGGAAGGACTTCAGTCACCTGGGCAAGTTGTTCTTCATTCCCTTTCCACAGAGCTTATATTTTCTGCAAGAGGATCAATCAGTAGATTTTGACCAAGCCAAGAAAATTAAGAACTTGTCTTCCCTAAATTCAATGAGCTGTTGAACAAACTGCCATCCAAAAGATTAATTTCCCATTTAAGCGGGCCAACCATCTCTCCTTCTGGGGACAGCTAAGCATTTTGCTTAGTAAATTCATAAAGGAGAACATTGCACTTTCCAGAGRAGGTTCATATCCGTAGCAAAGGTGGGTTCAGCCACTACACTTAGATAGCATGAAAACTATCGAGCTGGTCACGTGCTTATTCAGGAGGGATAAAAATGCAGCTGCCCCCTCGAGAAGAGCATGTTAAAATGATGCAAACCCCAGTAAAACGGGGAGTTTTCCTCAGGAAAACCCAAGGATTTGCTGCTTTAGTGCCGAATTGCCGGAGCCCCCCGGCGCAGAGCCCCATGGAAGGTGCCGCAGCGCGCCCAGGTGCCCGGTGCCAAACCCGCCGTCGCTGCCTAAGGAGCAAACCCCTTCCCGCTGGGCCAGCTCCAGCCCTCAGGGAGCCCGAGGTGCCAATTGTAGATTTCATGAACTAATCTCTGCACAGCTTCTGCTTTGTATCTGTTCAGTTGGTGCACATTTCTCTGCTGTTCGTTGTCCAGTCATCGCCTTAAAATTTCTCAARGCTGGTTGCGTTTTGATCTACTAATTGTCACACGTTTGCTTCTAGTGGCTGTGGGTCTATGGCTCAAGCTTTCTGCATTTTAATCCAAGCTGCTTTTGAGCACTGTTTTCTCTTTTTAGTATTCTGTAAAGAATTGCTAACTCTTGGTGTACCGTGCAGTGCGTCGCCTGCGGATGCGACCTYGGAGGATCCCGCTCCGGAGCCGAAGTCAGAATCCGAAACAACGAGCTCTTCTGCAATGATTGCTATCTCCGATTCAAAGGTGAGGTGTTTGCTCTGCACGCCTGTGGGTCGGCTTGGTGCTCAAGTATTTTGTGCTCAAGTATTAAATAAAGAAAAAAATCAAGTGTTTGTACAGCTGAGCCAGTCAAGAGCTTTCATATTTAAGTTGGTGTGTTAGTGAAGAGCTTCAGTAGGGCTTGATTGGCAGTTCCTCTTTCACCAAGGTAGTCACTCCTCACCTTTAACCTGCTGGTAGCTGGCTTTACTGCCTTGTTATGGAGCAGCTTCAAACAGCCCAAGCAGTGCAGCYGTCCTGCTTCCTTCATGGACGTAAGGAAGTGATACCTAGGAGTTGTTGTCGGTTACTGAACAGGCSCGTCTTGATGACAGGGAAGTCATTTTGAGAAATTAGCTAAATGTATAAAAAACTAATCTGAATATGTATTCAATTTAATCCAAACACATGCTAGGAAAGCTATCAGTGTATCCTGTGCAGGTGGCAGAAATGCTGTTTTCTGTCCCTGATGCTGTTTTTTGAATTACAGCTTTGTGATTGGCTGCCCGTTTAAGTCAGCAGGAAATTGATTTACTTACCGATCTTAATTGAAAGATGCAGTATAATTTCTTTTCCTTCATTCGTTTGCAGAGTTCTGACTTATTGGAGCATGATGTTAAGGCTTTGAGTAATAGAGTGGTCATTTTTTTTGGGGGGGGGGGCGGTTTCCAAATGACTTGCTAGGAAAATTGTCCATATTTCTGCCTGAGTCCAGCACATTTTGTTCATGGAGGTCCAGGATGCAGCCAAGGGAATGGGCTGCTTGGGCTGAGATGAGGAGCAGACCTTGGGCATCTRCAGGCTGAGGGAGCCCAGCTCAAAGGTGGATAATTACTTGGCCCTGTCTACTGCTTATGCTGGTATAGTTGGGTTATATMCAAGTTTCTACTCTTAGACTTGGCTTGCTAAATCCAGAATGTGTTACATTTTGCTGCCAGCATATTCAATAAATACTTAGAGCTAGCATARTTTGTCAGTTTTTAAATTGAAAATCTGACTTCTTTTCCCCTAAGCTGCTTCAATGGCTAGGATTTAATTACAGTTTCTCCTGTCTCTCTCTCAGCCGCTGGACATCCAACCTCCATGTGAAGCAAATGTAGATATGAAACCACTGTTGCAGATAGAAGAAGAAGAAGAAGAAGAAGAAGAAGAAGAAGTGATTGCTGCTGATGTAGATCTATAAATATATATTGTGTGTATGTGTGTGTTTTTCTAAGAGTAACTCTTGCTTGTCTAGTCTTCATAGCAATGCATTATATCATTCATATAACTGTATTTTTATTTATGAGAAAGTAATTGTAGTACAGAAACGTCTGGGGAAAATGCTTTCACTTTTCAGCTCCAAGTACTGAAGGAACAAGGGAGAATACATCCATTTTGAGTGATAACTTGAGAATATTTTTGAGGCTTATAATCAACTAGCTAACTTTCCAATGGTATATGAAGAGGGTATTTTGTTTCTGAGCTCTTGAAAGGAGCCTTAGAGAAATAGTTAATATAAATATATATTTGCAATTGCTGTCTTTATTTTTGACATATACTGAAAGTGAATTCTCTAGGTTAATATGAAGTTGCACTTAAATGCACACAATGTGTTTGCTTTTCATATGGTGGYTTCTAAAATTAAGTGCTTTTTGAAACTTAAATACAAAGTATAATCTATTTGCTCAGTGGTGATGGCGTAATATTTTGGTATCCATCGAAAGGGAAGAGTTCTCCTTTTTGCTTCCCATTTGAAAAATGTAACTATCACTTTTTTTCCTCCACACACTGAGTGGAGGATGGCTGTTGAATTACGGTATATTTGTAAATAAATTTTCTGATAATGCATTTATTAGAAGTTTCTTTTCTTTCTATCCAGCAAAATATGTCCATAAGGTGATTTGTTGAAAGAAAAAAAATAATAAAATCTGTTTGAATTTTGCTTTGGGAAAGCATTTTTTATAAAAGGATTAAAACATCACCTTAAATATGCATAAGAGCTCTTGCTCTTCTGTGTGGTGTTTATCTGTTTTATTTTATATTTTTTTTTTCTGCTCACATCATACTTAGGTTTTGGTAGTTGCTGTCAGGCTGCTCATGTTCTTCAGCACTTAACGCAGCAGTGAGATTCTTTGAAGTGCCTGCGAAGCCCTTAACCACGATGGTCAGGAGAGCTGGAGATTCCTCTGGTGTGGTTGGAAGTGGAGCCCTGGAGAGACCCTGGCCTGGGCGCTGCTGCCTCTGCAGCACCACAGCAGTGTGTGCTCGGCTCCTCGGCTGCAGCTCCCACCCTGCCTCTCTCGGTGGCCTTCCCAAATCACTCCATSTGCTGTTACATGCACCCCTTCCCATTCCTGCCCTCACAAGGACAATGCGGGGTGTCCTGAAATCACAGGATGGTTGAGGTTGGAACGGACCTCTGGAGATCATCCAGTCCARCCCCTTGCTCCAGCAGGGACACCCAGAGCACGGGGCACAGGGCGGCATCCAGGTGGGTTGGGAAGATCTCYAGAGAAGGAGACTCCACAGSYTCCCTGGGCAGCCTGTGCCAGGGCTCTGGCACCCTCACAGTGAAGAAGTTCCTCCTCACATGGAGATGGAGCTGCCTGTGTTTCAATTTATACCCATTGCCCCTTGTCCTGTCACTGKCCACCACTGGGAAGAATTTGGCCCCAAACTGGGTTTTATTGTGGGTGAGAAGAATTTGGGGCTGTGTTTTGCAGATGAGGAGGGGGGACTGCAAGGACAGGTAAGGAGGCAGGGGGAGACACAGAGGTAACTTCCTCTATGGATCTTCCCATCCCATGAACTTCACTAAATTATCTGTTTATAATCTATAGCATTAGAAGTATATAGCATAGGTAATAGTGCAGTKACTTTTTTCTTTAGGAAGTTACCTTTTTCTTTAACCTATATGGGTCTTCTGCTTGGTTTTGTTTTCTTGGGCCTCTTCCTGGACAGATACTGTATGCTAAAGAATTCCCTCCAAATAAAAACTGAGTAAGAAATATATTTAGATGTTATTTTTAAATGTCGATTATTTTTAAATGATAAATTCTTAAATGTTGGTTAAAAATACATTTATATGTTTAGCATGCCCGGCCCCACCACAGCTGCCCAGCTCCTTATCGTGTTGCATTTRTGGAGTGATTGGCTTGGGCCTTGGCACATTCCATTAAGTGTCCGCTGTCGGGAAAAGCTCACAAAGGTTTGGGGGTTGGTTTGTGTCCACCAGTGAACACAAACTGTGAGTAACCCTCTAGGTGACACRTGGGGCCTGCAGGCTGCGAAGACTCTGTTCTGCAGATACACCGAGTGCAGGGGGAGGTTGCTGCTGGCTGCTCGCACAGCTCTCCCAGATCTTGGTGCTCTCCTTCGGTTGCAGAGGATCAGGTTCCTCGGAGACTTTCAGAGTGGGAATCTGAATTAGGTGCCGTGGAGACTTGGCTCTCATTTGGGACGTGAAATTAGGTGCTGAAGGGAGACAATGTCCTGCTATGCTAGCAGTTTTTCAGGCTTTCTTTAACAGCAGGCAGTGTCTGACTGTCACACAGTGGGTTTTTTTGTTTGGTGTCTTTTTTGTTGTTGTGGTTGATGGAGTTTTTTGGTCACAGCTCAAAGTTGTTTTACTCCATCAGATAATTTAGCAAAGCCTCCTCCACTGTTAAAGAGTCAAGGCTACTCCCGCAGCTGGTTTTCTGCAGCTTGCAGCGACTCGGAGCCAGATGGTCATTTCCTGAGTATCATCAAATACTTCCACAAATTCCATTTTCCCTAGTTTTTTTTTTTTCTTTTTAAATCAATTATTTCATTGGTTTACTCTGAATTACTTGCCAATCATTAACCAGAGTGCGGAATTTCAAATTTAGTGTGGGTTAAAAAGCTGAAGCAATGAAACTCTTGCAGATTTGAAGCTGAATTTCTAATCCTTGCTAAAGCCCTGTTCGAAGGAGCCCTGTTAAACAGCAACTATGGGCAAAAGAAAGTCTCGTCCTTCCCTCTTCCCTTGGAAAAAATGCCTTATGAGCATTGTTTTATATTTGTRTTACTGTGTTTGGACTCTGAAGGTCAACAGAACTCATTTTCTGCTCACAACACAAGATGGCAGTGTGGAAATGCAGCTTGCACCATGGTTTTAATGGTCTGCCTTGTCTTTCTGAACCGTTAAAAGYCGATGTTATCTGTGCGTTAGCGTCTGACCTGTGACGTGGTCCTCAGTCACTCAGCCTGAGCGCGAGRGGAGCAAGGAAGAGGAGAGGGCAAAATCCAAGCGAGGGCCCATCGGGCCTGGTAGGCCCAAGAGCAGGTTTGTGCTCTGGGTGTGTTGCTTGGAGAGGGGAATTGTTGGTGTTTCCCTACAAAACACACATTGAGGTTGTGAGAGAAAYGGGATTTGCCCTGGTATGGCAGTTGCCACCTTTGCTGAGCAATGGCCTGTGTGAATATTGATAAGGAGAGTGGTAAAAACACGTTTCTTGTGTTATTTTCCCTACTGCTGGCTCCATGGGGTGGGGATATATGCCTCAACCCAAGCAGTCTCCTTCAGTCTTGTCTGCGAGTTGATTAATTAACTGATAATTAAACCAGGGCTAACTAAACATGTAAGTAGGACATGTCCTGTGAAGAGAAATAGAGACTTCTGGTAGAGATGTGGCTTGGTTTTGAGATGCTGTTGAAGGGACAACACATTCTTGTCCTGACTCCTTTCAGCAACTTCAGGCTGTGGGGTTTTTTTCTTAAGGTTAAAGCTCTTAAGTGTTGGTGTCTAAGCAGAGCTGACAGCAGATGCGCTCTGCCTCTGCGTTGCTGTTAAATTCTTTAGAGAGTTAGGGCTCAGTTTCTGTGGTGTCCAATACAGTTTGAGATCCAGCAGTGACTGGGACATCTGCCTGGGGCAGGGGATAACATGCAAGACTTGGGGGATGCCCCTGCCCTCCTGGAGTGGCAGCTGCAGATCCCATGGAGTCCCCTGGGGCATCTGGAAGGGCGCTAGATATTTAGGAGCAGGGAGCTGGATCAAGCCCAGCTCGTACAGACGGTGACGCAGAGGTGTGACGAGGTGGCCCCTGGAAAGGTGTCCGGCACAGGCCGCAGTGCTTAGTGCTCTGCGCTTGCTTGTATTTAGTGGGAGCTCGGAGCCTCCTTCACATGTAAACATCCACAGTTTTACACAGCTGTGCTTACTTATCTTAACGTTGACTGAATTCACCAAAGCGCCTCAGAAATAGTGGTTTAGCTAAAAAGTTTTCAGCCCTAAAGCTGYCCCACCCTCTCACTCACTGCCTATAAGCTAAATAACTGCTAATAGTGGTGACTAGTTAACTGGCACGTGCAGGTGACTGTGGCTTTGGTACTGCATGGTCTGCAGAGGGAAGCTCCAGCATAAGGCAGTGGTCAAAATGAGACCTCAAAAAATACAAGTCGTTTTTCTGTAACTTTTAGTAAGAACTTAGCATGGGCCTTCTCTAACAGGGAAGGAATAAACAGCCTCTCAGAGCAACATTCAAAGTATTGCAAGAACTCTTAGTTTTGCTGAGATTTCTTTAAGATTTTTTATTTTYCTAATGTTTATAGATTTCTCATAGAGATGTACAAGCTACATTGCCTACGTGTTCACCTTTTCAGGCGAATTACAACAGGGAATGCGGGGTTATTGACAAGATTTATGCAGCGAGCCCTTCATTAGGGCCCGGCATCCCAATTCGGTGCTCACACAAGTCTCCTTGTTTTCTGACAAGTCCCTCATGGGTGAGTCCCAAGGGAGCTTTCCTCGGGATCCATCCAAGTGAGGATAGTTCAGCGCTCTCCATAGAAAACAGCTGTTGTAACACAGCCCACCTTGTCCTTTGTGAGGGTGGAAAGGGGCTGGGATCTGGGATCTCCAAGCTCACTAYGAGATCTGGAGGTCTGCGATATTCCAACCAGTTGATTGGAATAGATGGACAGAATTTGGGTGGAAACCAATCAGTAACAGGTATAGTTGAAGAGCAGCTCCATACTGAGCACTCACCAGTGTTTTTATTTTAGCTCCTTGCTGTTTGGGAGCCAGGAGCCTGTATTTAAAATAGCAGGGAAGGGTAACGTAGACCATCCGTTCACAATAGAAATATTCTGGGGTGATCCGCAGGGCAGCAGTTTATTAAAGCAC